AGCCTCCTCTTCTCCAGGCTTAAAAACCCCAGTTCCCTCAGCCGCTCCTCCTAAGACTTACCCTCTAGACCCTCCACCAGCTTTGTTGCCCTTCTCTGGATGCGCTCCAGCACCTCAACCTCTTTCTTGAAGTGTTGGGGCCCAAAACTGAACACAGCACTCGAGGTGCGGTCTCACCAGTGCTGAGTACAGGGGGACAATCACTGCCCTAGTCCTGCTGGCCACGCTATTTCTGATACAAGCCAGGATGCTGTTGGCCTTCTTGGCCACCTGGGCACACTGCTGGCTCATGTTCGGCCCTGATCAGTGTCTCGCCCTTCCACTCGCCCCTCGCCCTGTGCCAGCCCCAGGCAGGGCTTTGGTATTTCTCTGGTTCACCCCAATTGCATCAGCTGGATTTTGGGCCTTTTGCTGTTTACAATGTGCATTGCTAGGATATGTATTAGAGAACGTGAGAGCAAAAGATCACATCTCACTGATGGAAGGGAAAGATGAGCTTTGCGACAGTCCTTACTGCTGGTGAGGAGTAATTTCTGGTCACTGCAATGGACACCTCTGCGCGTGTGCAGGGAGGTTTAAGAATGGAAGAGCAGTGATTTCTCAGAACCACCAGCACTACAAGAAATTAAAAGGCAAGCAGAGAGCTTTACTGTTTTATCCAATATATATAACTACCAAACTAGCTTTTGCAATCAGGACTTTGAGCTCCAACATTGATAAAAGTGACCCCGGCAGGCTGGCTCACAGGGACAGTCTAATCTACAGATCAGAGGTGTCTAATGTAGAAATCAGGTTTCTCAAAGGCTGAGCTCCTGTCCACTGAGGGTTACATGTGCTCATTTATAGCAAAAGGTTATGAACCAGCTAGATTAAAAAGTCATCTTGTTTAAGGCTCAGCACTGTTGTGAAAATTGGCCCTGTATAATGTGACTTCTCGGTTTTCTACAGTTCTAGACAATCATAATGAAAACTGATGGAATTGCTCTTTTTTTGTTGGAGGAATTGCTTGGCCTTCACTGCTGCTAATGAAGACAATACTGGCATGAGGAGCAGCATGTATAAACCAGCCAGCAATAAGACTGGAAAAAGATTTCTAGGAGAGAGATTGTGAGAGACCCAAGTGGAGAGGGGACAGGGCACAGCAGGCTGGCAGGGGGTGGCTGCTTGCGGTGGTAAGCGGTAATACAGACACTCCCTTCAAATCCAGGAAAGCAGCAGAAGAAATAACCCAGGAAAACTGTTAGATTCCAGGGTAAATATCCAGAAAGATATTATCTTGTAAATAGAACAGATGATCCCGAGTTTGTCACCGAAATGAAGGCAGCGGGGGTATTCAGCCACCTTGCAAATCCTGGGTGCAAGCCCACCACTGCCTGATTGCTGGGAGTCATTGACTCTAGGTAAGATGCCATTTAGGATCCCTTTTTCTATTTCTCTCTCATTCCTTCAAATACTAAAAATCTCCCTCGATTCCAATGCCAAAAAACCCCACATGACAAGAAACCAGCATATCAGAAGGCCTCCAAAAGGAAAAAAGAAGATTCAAGTATTAGATGTCAGCAACTACAACAGGACATGGGGCTGTCACAAACATCTTTAATAATAAGCGTTGCCCTTCACTCTTGGTGGTTCACCATGTGAATGGCAGATTGTTCACACGCTCCGAGTTTTTAAACTAAAGACGTTTGGTTTATTGTTTCTGTCCTGGAGCAGGTGATTAAAATGCTTGTAGGGGGATGAACATACAGCCAAGAGAGGACAGCACAGCAGCAAGTACTCTCAAACACACCCAGCCTTCGGAAAATCAGGGTAGTTTTTTTCCCTCCTGCAGACATTTGCACGTGTCATCATCCACTTAGCAATTCCACTCTCAAAATTATCAAAAAACCCAACCATTTCCCATTTAAAATTTAACCCAGTTGTAGACAGTATTTTGTGAATAAAACATCAATAAAAACATTATTCAGCTACTGTTTGGGAAGGAAAGAAGGGAAGGGTGGGAATCAACGTGTGCCTGTTTCTAATATTTTCGGTTCATGAAAAGAGAGGGCCTTCCTTCAGTCAGGTCTCTTGTCTTTATAGAGAACATAACCACAAAACAAAACTTCCTGCTAATGGAAGCTGAAGTATATATAGAAATGTCTTTCCAGACAGGGAATTTAAAGATATCCCTAGGCTCTGGACTAAATCAGTAGTATCTAGAACTGAAACCTTAGTGAAAAACATCACCAGAACACACCAGGTTTTAAACTCACCAGCAGAAACGTCACTAGCCAAGACATGGTAGTACTGGAAAGAAAAGAAGCTATTTGATGAGCGAGAGAAGTCATCCCTGAATTGTTTACTCATTTTGTCTTATTCCTTACAGGAAGTGTTCTTAGGCAGAGATTTCAGGGTAAGGTTCAAGGACAACTGCTTACGAACGGAAATATGCAGAGATACATATATTCCACCAGTTTCTGCATCCTTTACAATTTTCTATTTTCAACCGAAGAGACTGGAAATGGTTGGGTTCTCTCAATTTTATCTCATAAAGAGTGCTGCAGTACAAAAGGGTTTTGTATTTGAGCTACAGCTAAGCAGAAATAAACACAGCCAAGAAAAAGAGCCCAAAAGCTCCAAAACAACTCTCTGCCCTTTTATTGTGATGCATATGTTGCTCAATGCCACAAAATCTCTCTTATTACTTCAGCTGCACAGGGTGACTTACTTGGTGCACTTCCATCCAAAACAGTCTCAGAAGAGCACATCTAGATTTATCCCCCCTCTGCATTTTCTAGGAGAAATGTGGATTGCTATTACAGTATTACCACAGAAAAAAAAACCAATTTGTTTGCTGTTATATTCTCTTTCAAGAAGTCATTGTGAATGCATTCTTTCAGTGTATTCCCTATATAATATCAACAGGGTATTTCAGGTAGGCAATTATTCAAAGGCTGTGGCCACCATCAGCTTTCTGAAGTGGCTTGGTCTTTACTGCATGAACCTCCAAGAAGAGCCCCTGCCACATCTGCACTGGCAGATCGAGCACCAACGAAACCCAGGCTTTCAGAAACGTAGAGCAGCGGTTAAACTGAAGAATTATGAAGATTCACAGTTGTAGATGAGTATGAAGAAACTTCTCACAGGAACCTAAAGCAAATAGACATGTGGAATGTACATGGACAGCCAAGCAAGACGCCTCAGCAATAACAAACTTTAAAAAAAAAATAATCAGTGTCTTTTTTCATTTTTGTGACTGCCTGTAGTTTTGTGCTGTACTTGTCTGTGCAAACACGTGCTGGGAAGGTGAGGATCAGGCACGCCTTGCAGTGCTTGCCACTGGAGAAGGATCTGCAAATGCTAAAAACACATGAAAACAACGATCCTCATCCTATACAGTTCTCTAATGTTCCCAGTTTGCAGGCTGGCTCAAATTTTGTCAGGAAATACCGTTCATGTCTCTACCATCTCTGAGAAGACTGACACTGAAATAAAACCCAGATCCACAAGTTAAAAGTGACCTGTAGGGCCTCAGCCTTCTGTATAAATTTAATGTTTCCGGTCTTAAACCTTCCCCAGCTTCCACCCCCAAAGATACAGAAAAGGCCTGGTGGGGTGGGGAGGGGAAACACTCTGCAATTTCTGTGTTAGAATTACAGTGCTCTTTCCAGTTACATGTAGAACTGGAGGTCAGAGAAGAAGTTAAAAAAAAATAAAGGGTAGGAAAAATGGTAAGATAGGTTAATTCATTTTAACATCTTCATCAACACAGGTGCCAGATGCTCTTTCAGCTGTGGATCAATTTGAATGTTGCTCAGTTCTTTGATATTGAGGATCATCTCGTGGGCTTGGAAGAAAAGCTCTTTCCCCACAGCATCCTCGACTCGCCTGCGCCACTCCATCAGCCTTGGTCTGTCTTCGAAGATGTCGCAACCAACTCCAACAGGCTGCAGAAAGAGGGAGAGAGCAACAGTGAGGCATTGGGCAGTCACTTCTTCGCCAACAAAACAGGCACCAAGAGTGTACCTGCAGGTACAGGTAGAGGAAAAAAAATGAAGAAGAGCTCATAGAGGAGCACTAGGAAGGAAGGAAATCTCCTCCGGTCAGATGTGTCTATCTGGGGGACACAGAAGCTAGCCTATATTTTAAAGGGCATTTACAAGTCCATGCCTGAGCCCCGGAACAGCTGTTAGGAGCAGCAGAGATGACTACCACTTATTGTGAGTGATTTTCAGCTACAGCATCGAAGACGTGGTGGGCTGACAGTTCCAGGGACAACTGCACAGTCCACAGTACAGACTGCTATATTATATAGCAAGACCACAGCACAAAACGCTTAGCGTTTAATTGAACTGATGTCTTAGTTGACATAATCGACCCCCCTTCTACTTTCTGCCTGTGCCACTCTCTGGAACACAATGCTGTGGAGAAGCAGAACTGCTGTTTCTCAGTCTCTGGGATACAGAACTGGGAGAAAGAATCACTTCTGGGCTGCAGGATCCAGGTCCTGACAGTCTGGCAGAGAACAACCAGTTTGTAACAGACTTAATTTAACGGCCTCTGTCTGAGATTCAGTCTTGCATCTTCCAGACATGGAATGGGCAAGTGTCATCTGAAGAAGGATATTCTTGTATGATAAAAATATTCCTATATAATTTTCTTATTTCATCAGACCTGTCTGCTATTGCTTCTCACTTTTATGTATTACCTCCTTCTCTGGAGGTTAAAAACAAGGTCAGGAAAAAGGATAAAGGAGAAGAAGAAGTATTGTTAGAAAAGAGAAACACAAGACAAGTGTTGCAGCCAGCTTGTTTTTTTTCGTAAACTGGTTTTCTGAACCCACTCCCATATTCTCCTCATTATCTTAGGCCAGTTCTGTTGAGATATGCCCTCACTCCTCTTTCTAGTGAAGTGTTACCACGTGCTGCGCCCCTCCCTGCCCAGCAGCATGTTTTCCCTTCTGCTGACTGCCTTACCACACTCCAGCACTCACTTGCATCAGCTCCACAATGGCCACAAGATCCGCCAGAGAAATCTCGCTCCCGATGATAAAAGCCTTGTCTTGCAGAAACCTCTCCTCAAATTGCTTCAGGGAAGTGGACAGTCCCTCCATAACCTCCTGGAGCTTCTCAGAGGGCAGCGGCTGCCCTGTGAAAAGGGGAATCAGCACCTGAGGAGAGAAGGGACTTAAGAGCACAGCCATCCATCTTCTCGTGGATCTGGTGGTAGTCATTTAAGTTACACCCAATGAACTACTCATGATCGTCAGTGATCCTGCACCAAAGCCGCAGGAGGGGATGACGCTAGAGCTTCACGGACTGCTGCAGTTCCAAGTGGCTCATGGATAGAGAGCACACAAGCAGTCCTAAGCGGCTGATCTACCATGACAGTAACCTCCACCTAATGGGCAGCAATACACAGAATGAAATCAAGGACTCGGCTCATTTTATGCCTGGCAGTTGTGCCCTCCCATTCCACCTTGGTGGGTTACAAAAGAAAAATAGGCGACAGCTCCAGGGAAGACAAATCTCTGCCACGCTCATCTCTGCTATGTCCTCCCTTTCAACAGCCTGCCAAGACGGGTCAGCAGGCTGCCTGCCCACCAGCCACCCCTGCCATCCGCCCTGCTGTGTAACTGGGTGCCGGAGGCAGGCAGACAGGCAGGCAGCTGCCTGAGCGATGGAAAGGAGGGCACGGTGGTGGCTGTGGCAGGCAGCATAGGAGGGACTGGAATGCATCAACGCTGGCTGGAGTGGCAAGAAATGGCTTCCTGTGTGTGACAGCAGCCAGCGAGGCTGGGAGTGGGTAAGCACCATTTATTTTTACACTAGCCTTTCTGTGGCCTCCCAAGCATCATTCTTTAAACCACTAGAAATTTTTCCAGAGCAATCATATAAGAGCGGTCTTTGTCTCCACAAACTTGCTGGCACAGGGGGTAGTTGCCTTTCCGTGAGATTTTTCACCATTCACAGAGGTGTACGCACCATTGGAGACTGCAGTCTTTCACAACTATGCTGCCTCCACCTACCCCAGCTGAAGAAATGTAGTTTATTTAGAGAAGCAAAATTGAAGATACAAATTTCCATCGGTGGGAGTGGACGGAATTTCTACTTGCTGCTAGTATATTCAAGAATTCAAGTTGGGATTGCTTAATCCAAGCCAGGATTTTTGCCAAATACATGTGGAATCTATTTCATCAGAAAATTCATGGCCAGTTCTCTTCCTAAGTGGTTCCAATTATGCATGATGGGATCTCTGGGTATCATCACTTGAAAGAGCACCTTCTTTCTTTTCTGTATCTCAGGGCAGTCTATTTTCTCCCATGTATAGCTAACATGCCTTCTGTTACGTGGTGGCTTTATATGTTTCCCTATTTTCAATTATTCTGAGGACCTTTTCTTTATCTGGATTATCTAATCAGCAGCACCAATTAGTTGGATTTCTCTCCCTTGGAGCACTGCAATAACAGCCTGCAGAGACTGGAAGAAACTGCTTCTTGTATGAATCTGACTCATATTTGAATTGCTTCCCTGTGCTCTCTAGCCAAAAATTCAAATGTCAGTAAATCAAAAAGCTAAATGCATCCTGATATGTTAGGCACAAACAAAGACAAACTTTACACAGGACGAGTGAAGTTCTTACTTGTTTACGGGCAACACTGATTTCATCTGAAATTCCATACCACAGCTGTACTTGCAGGGCTATACTTGCACTTGGGTCTCTCCAAGGATAGTTGTATTAACTGTCTGGTGAGTTGGCTGGAAATAGATGTCCGGCAAAATCATCTGATACTAAATGATTTTCTGCCTTGGAGTGATTCTGTTAATTTTGCCTAAATGTAGATTGATCTGACTACACTGAAGGAAGAAATTCTGCCATTCTCTCTGTGTCTCTATTCTGTCTATCCCTGAGCTCATTTCAGAGAAGTACCTAAGGGTGCTGGAAGCAGAAGGCTCCTGGATTTCCACCCTGATGGGACTGCAGGGACTTGTATGAAGAATGCAAGTCTTTCTGCTTCCAGCAACAAAGCACATGCTTGCCAAAGAAGGAAAATTTCTGCCTATGTGCACACTCTGCACAGCTGTGCAGTGAGGGGGAGGCCCTTGGAGGCAATATCCAATGTGTTATACATTCATTCACACATCCAGGCAATGGAAGTCTGTTGGGCTTTGAGACCTTCTGTCCCAGACCTGCTTTAAGGAAAAAAACAAAATGACCAAAGCTGCTTTTGCCAGATCTTGACGTTGAGCAATTAGGAACTGCTCCCTCTCTGACAGCTCCTCTCAGCTAGGAATGGCCTAGGTTTGTTATTCCAGCATGACAAACTCTCTCCGAATTGGGGCTGTTCAAATGCTCAGTATTCTGCCAGGAAAATATCGCTTTACTTGCATTTTAATATTCAGTCTCCTTACCTTGATCCACATGGTCTTCGGAGCATTAGCCCGGATGTTAGCGTGATGCCATGAGAGGTATTCATCTACCCGGGCCCGTTTTTGTATGTCTGATGGGTACCAGTGGTCGGGGGTGTTGTACTTTCGACTCAGATACAGCAGAATGGCAGTGCTGCTCAGACATTAACAAGAGACAAGAAAGGAGTCTGGGAGTTATGACACAGAACGTTTTCGCCTAAGCTCCCTCTCCTGCCCCTTCTGAAGTTGCTGCTTCCACTAAGAAGCATTCAGATCAGGATTTATGATGGAGTCTAGGGACCATATATAGGCATCTAATTCATGTTGACATCAGAGATGGCACTTAATCACCTTAGTTCCCATGAAAACTTTAACCTGCTGGAAAATCACGGCACTGTTCTATGGTGCAGAGTACTGCTGGACAGTACTGGGGTTAACAAACAATAAACCTCCATAATCATCTATCAGCAATGTTAACCCCACTTGTTCCTTGACTGTTCTGACCCATCTCTCTGAAACCTGCGCCATGTTTATGCACCTGTGTACTAAATGGAACTCTCTAAGGGGTTATGTTGCCTTTTCATCAGATCTGTCCCTAGCCTGCAGCTTCCATTGCAATCAGTGGAAGTCCCAGCAAGGAGAGCCTACAGAATCTTTTTGTGCTTGTCCAGATGTTTATACTTTCACTAATTAGCAGCAGAAGTCAGATGGAAAAATATCTTAGTCATCTGCAACAATATGTAGGCTGTTACTACAAAAAGAGTTGCCACATAAAATCCTGTGCTGACACAAAATGGAAGAAAACGCAGACCCTCCTCCTATGCTAATACTACTACAGTTCAATTATTTCAGTATTATGACACCATTAACCAGTCTCCATATTAATCTTATAATGTAAAACTTAAATTTTATCTCTGTAGGTGTTCACTTGGCCTTTATGACTGATTCAGATAAACAGAATTTTTTCCTAGGGTAAAAGGGATTTTTATAAGCTTTAAACATTTCCCAGAAATGTTTATAATCCCATTTGAGGTAAGTGCATTCAGAGTAAGATCAAGAAGTTAAGTCGGCTGATTTGTTTACATTCTGAAAGATAATTCAAACAAAAAATGAAAACAGAGCAAATGATGTTACACTGTTAAAAATAACCAACATGCTGATAAATTCTGTGATCCTAAAATCACTCAGCAGG